TGAGCCACACTCTGTGTGCTTCATTCAACGTAATTCTTACGTTTCTACAATTACAAAAAACATCTGTGTGAGGTCCACAAAAGGGAAGAAAACCCTCAGTAGAAGTGCAATGGCACGCAAAATTCGTACGCACAATGGTTTTTTTGGGGGGTCTGTTTTCAGTACAGCTGGGAAACAAAAGATTACATTTATTTAGTGTGTGTGTGTGTGTGTGTGTGTGTGGGGGTGTGTGTGTGTGTGTGTGTGTGTGAGAGAGCTTTCCAAGCCCAATGGTTAAAGTAGGCTGATACATTTTTGCCAAAGCTAGATTGAACAGCCTATCAGTTGTGTAGCATTTACAGTAATATGTCTTAATGCTAAAGAAGCGTTTTTGCTAATACCTTCACAGTAATCTGTTTTTACAGTTACTATAAAACAGGATTTGAATAAACTTTTTGTATTCATGTACAAACTAGAAGTGACAAAAGGCCTTAAGTTATTTATTTGTATCGTGTGCAGCTTTAAAGCAGCTCATTTACTTTGTGCCGTACATTCTGGGACAATACACTAAAAAGTCAAGTATCAGTCTGCGTACTGACTCCTTAAAGTATACCAAGTATTCTTAAATTATACAAAGTATCCCTAAAGTATCTGTTGCTGTTCCAGCCTTCTACACATACTCAAACTTCAAATGAGTCGCATGAAACTAGGACACAGGCCTAACGTTAGTATTCACTAATAGTTAAATTAGTCCGCTGCATGTAGGTCAGCTCTCTTCCAGTTGGTGTTAATATTTCTCTATTATTCACCAATTCTCCCGTTGACTGTTCAATAGCATCTGCAAAGATGTTCTACAAACTCTGACAAGCAAAGAAAGATACTTAAACAGCAGTGAAAACAGTCACCCTCACTACTAGCTTATATTGATTTTGTCATGTCGTGTGATCCTTCGCTACGAGGGCTGAAAACTGAATCCGTCATATAAATCCCACTTAATCTCCCGCTTTATTAAGTATGTTAACTGGAGTCAGTGTCAAAGCCAGGTGGGTTGATATCAAAGCAGCTTCTACGCAGTAAAATCAGCTCATTTCAATCTTTGCTTCTACTTTTTAATAGACTTTTTTAAAATCAGAATGTTTGATTTGTCCCCCCCCCGTCGCTGCAGCAGCAACGCATGATGTCACTGAACTCACTTCAGGTCATCGTTCAGACATTGTTGGCACACAGCCAGAGTGGTTTGGGTAAACATTGGGGTAATTGTATCATCCATCATCTGCTACCACATGGCGTCGATCGATCGAAGCAGAATTAACTAACCGGCGCCGCTGCAGCCACTGTAGAAAGTGTGTGAGTGGTACAGAAGTTATGTTTTACTACTTCATTTTGTTTGTGTGTGTGTGTGTGTGTGTGAATCTTCTGCAGCACAGTAACTTTTAACGGTTACTCACCTGTGTGTGTCTGGTGTGTGTTCTCCAGCTGGGTTCATGTGACAGCAGGGGTGGGAGACTAAGAGCTTGGTGAGAGGGATTACCTATATCTGTTAGGCCTCCTCCCCCCTCCCCCCTCCGACAGTGTCACGTCTCATTACTTCTGTCCTTCAGCACGGATAGTCTGGCTTTAGCGGGATACATTTAAGATGCGGGCAGCCTGGGCGTCCATGAACACCGGGTTTAGAGCCACAGTGATATGCGCGCCCTTTGCCCGAGAGGCTTTTTTTTTCTTCTTCTCTCTCCAGTAAGCAGACAGGTAAACATCTCCCAAAGCTGGCATTGTCCGCAGTTAAGCCTTCACTTGTTTAAGTGAAACGGATGGCTGCATCTCGGTGGCGCTCAGCGTGTGGTTACCACCTCTTGGGGATGAACGTGTGATGAAGCACACTGTACGAGGAAGAGTAGAGAGGAGTTCATAGAAGAAGACATTGTGGAATATTAGAGCAGGAGAAATGCTGATATGGATGTAAAAAACACGTGGTTCTAGCTTAAAAATGTAACATCTTAGTGTTTATTTTTCTTACTTTTTGTTGGATAAGACATTTGAGGATGTCAAACCAGGCTCTTGAAATTGTGAAAGGCATCTTTTTTTTTATTTTTTATTGATTGATTGATAGTGAAAATAATAAACTGGAACTCCTTCAACAGTTCTCCCACTTTGTGATTTTAAAGAGAAGATGAAGCTTTCATCTTGCAGCGTTTCTAACGCTGAAACAATTCGTCGGACGAGAGACGTCCGGCTCTTGCGCGACAGATACACACTCATGTAGTTGTAATCTATTAGTAAGTCAGTATTCAGACACAATACATTCTAAATCCCCCCTTTTCAGACAGTTCAGTGAGCATGTTCAGTCAATAAGGTGCAAAGATCTCTTCGACCATTTCTCTAAACCTTTCGGCCTAATCACTTGCACATCCTTCCAGTCAAGTGGCTCATTACAAGAAATCCCCGATGTTAAGCCGAGAGGCGTAACTATCCTCTATGGTCCTCTGTTTTTCTCTATTCAAACTGCAGTTAAACACGCTACAGTGGACAAACAACCAACTCGTTTGTAGCCACGTTTTTCTCATTTTGCGAATTCCTTTCATCGGCCTGGGTCATTGAATCCTTCATTTCTCCCCCATTCGCTGACCCAGAAGGCCCCCGCGTGTCTACAACGCCTGCACGTTGACCCTTTGCTCTCATGGCCCTCACCCCTTTTTTCCTCCCTCCCCTCTCGAGGAGGAAACCCCCCACCCCCCACTCCCTGCTCATCTCGCCCTCCAGCTGGTTCCCTGCACTGCCAGAATCCGAGAGGAGTTTTCCTGGCCCTTAGCAGGGCGGCTAATCTAGATGGCGGGAGGCCTCCCTCCTGCTAGCGGTACACAAGAGAAGGCAGCCCTAATTGCTTATGTCGTAAAGCTCTCTGACCCAGATAAGCCGCCGCTCCCCAAAGCTGTCGATATAACCCCACTTTACCTCACCAAACCTGCCTCTCCTGATCCACGCAAGCTAACACCTCGGAACATTTCTGCACCTTCTGCCACATTACTAACACCCGGGACACGGGGAGATTGAGACGGGTTGATACCGACAGCTTATTTAAGGAGGCGTATGCTGCAGGGAAATAACTACTTTGGTATTCTTTAATTTGTGTATTTGTCGACAAAGAACATGCCATAACATAGGCCTCGTGTATAAATCCAATGCAGTAGGCATTAGTCTGTTATTTTATGTATTTCAATACAAACCTTTTAAGACAATGTAATTATGTAGCTCAAAGGAAAGTGGGAAACAAACTTCTATAACAATACAAAGCTTTTTATAGATGCATGAATACTCTTTTCATAAGATCTTTGGAGAGGAAGGCTTGATGGATTCACCAGAAAGCAAAAGTGACAGATATTCTACGCACTACTTTATCAGGTGGAGGGTGATTATAGGTGCGCTCAATGAAAGCCAAAGCGCCGGCGTTGCGTGCAGCCAGCTCTCGCATGCCCGGCTCATTATTGGGCCCAGCTAATGCAGGCTTAGCCACAAAACGCCACTGTGGCTCTGGACAAGTGGCGAATGTCACACGTGCTCCGCTTTTAAAAGCAGATGGCCGCTTCACCGATCAAAGCTCCACCAACACAGATGATGACTTTTTATTTTTATATATATATATTTTCTACGTCAACTCCCTGAAACGTTTGTTGTACAGAGATATTAAATAAAAGTGTTGTTCTTCAGTCACTCGGGTGGTGAAGCTCTTAACTCCTGTCAAACGGGAGCCTTGCTGAGGATTCCTTGAAGTCCACGTTAATACAGTTCCTAATTACTCAACAGGAGCTTTTAATTGGATGCTGGCCTGACTCACTGTATAATCACCCACCACATGTTAATGCTATTGGTGCAGGGATGCCTTTAAACCCCCCCACCCCCCCATCTTAAGCCATGTTACACCACAAGTAAATGTCAAGCGTGTCAAGTGCTCGGTGAACGATACTTCTGCTGATATCTTGTAGTTTTTTTCTGACAGAACTACAAATTCCATCATAACTTTATGCTCTTTAAGTCCTGTAGTTCGTACTGTAGCTCGTATAATAATGACAATACAAAGTATAATGACTGACAGTTATGGGTCAAATAAAAATCACCCTGTAGGTTTAATACAAATTCCAACAATACAAATCAGGCAAACAAAGAAATAGAGAAGAAAAGACACATGAGAAATAAAGTACCACAGTATCACGTCATCACACAATATGCTGAAATTGATCTCACTCCAAAAATACCAAATGAAAATGATTTAAAGTGGTTCTAAAACTAAATATTCCAAACCAAACCAACCAAACATCGTTTTTTTTGTCCCGCACCAAACACTATTTCGTGCTACAGTTTTCCTGCTTAGGGTCATTTAAATTAAAAAATATAAAAATTCAACCAATTCCAGTTGAACTAAAACATTTTCACAATGAATATATCAGTGTTCTCCAAAAACAATTACACATCGACTTAACACTTAAAAGGATGAGTGTATACTTTACAGTACTGTTTATAAGAAGAGTGCGTTCATGTTTAATACTGCATGTACCACAGAATAACACGAGTATAAAGTATAAAATCAATCTGATATTTTCTAGTGGTGCTGAGGGTTTCCACTGTTTGGTTTACATTTTGATTGTGCAGTTTTCTGTTTGATCCGTGCTACATTTCTACATGTAGCCCCACATCATAAAGTCTACTTCAGGAGAAAACCCCCAACTCTAGATGACCTAACCGACTACCAGCGTCAGATCCTCCATACAGTAGTTTCCCACAGTGTCGGCGTGATCATCGTGTCGCACAATGTTCTATGTAAAGCGTCTTTGTCGCCCTCGGGACTTGTGAGTAATCTCTTCAGACAGTTTGCAGGCGACAACGAGCGCTCGCGGCGTCTGAAATTGCGCGGCGGTGCGTTTACATCCCCTTGAGCGCCAAAACAACACTGGTGTTGCGTAATCCCCGTGTTCTGCTGTAGTGCTACAATATATGTTTTTGTGTATCTATATATATATATATATATATATATGGTGCAACACTGCTGCCAACACTCAAGTGCTTGTTGCCACCTGGTGGTAGGACCGCATCATTGATTGGCACGACGTTCAAAAGAAATAAAGTGATATAAGCAACAAAAAAACTAACTCAGGAACCAAAAGGGAGAATTACATATTTTTCCAGTTTCATGATTGTGCCTTCATTTGAATGAACCAGTCAGAAGGCTGTTCATTCTCATATCTCAGTCATTTTAAACCACATTCGCATCACGCACTTCTATCTTTAGGATATAAACTATAACTTGACGTTACATCGGACAACAAAAAGGGACGACTGAATGTGATTTCTGTCTTTGATCGGCTGTCAATGAAACGTTGAGCGTCTAACTTCATGTTGGTGAACTCTCAGGGTGTGAATATGTAGAGACTCGGTGTCTCACAGGGTATATTTTTGTATCTGGACCGGCTCAAGAAAAAGTACCTCATATGCTTTAACATTAATGTCGATCAAATGGCATCTAGATTTTCGGATTTGCATTAGATTAAAAAAAAAAAAAAGCCGCGAGCCAGACTTCCAATCCTTTTTTACTTTCAGTCCCAACCAGCAGGACGCTCTCTGAAACCTCCAGAGAACCTTTCCCTGCTGCTCACTTTCAGAGCGACTTCAAATAAACCCCGAGACGTCGGATTGGATTAAACTCCCACTGTGCCGTCATCACGAGAAATCAAAGAAAAGTGTGGGCGTGAAGCTAAATCTGGTTAAAATCAGAAACACCGTCATTTTCATCGTGTGGTCCTCGTCACGTTTCAGCACCGTCGGTTGGAGGATGGGTATTTGGTTTTCAGGCCCTCTTTGAAGCTGCGGAACAGAACGCGGTTGCGTTTGTTCTCCTCGTCCTTCCTGGCGTGGAACTCCCCCTGGATCTTGAAGCCCCGGTGCACCACGAACGCCGAGCTCAGCACCGAGAACCTGTATCCGGCCACGTGGAGCTCGCAGGCCTGCGGGGAGACAAGAATACACTTGTGAGAAGTGGGAAGTGATGAGGGAGGAGGAGAGGAGGTGAGAATGATAGATGAGACAGAAGAGGACAGAGGAGGTGAGAAGGAAGGTGACGGCAAGAAAAACTGGAAACGAGGAGGAGGAGATCAAACACGTCAAGAGGAAGACAAGTAGAAGCACGATGAGGAGAGAAGAGATGGACCGAGGTGTCGAGATGTTACCGCAGGAAGGACAGATGCAAATAAATCAGCAACAAAGTTGATTGTCCATTAAAGGGGCAATTCCAACATGTTGAAATCGCACAAACCTGGCTGATACGATTGAAGCCATATTGCTTGAAGCTCTCGTCATAGAGGGGCACAGTGTGGGGCCCGATGTAGAAAGGCTCCCAGGGGTCCGTCCAGGTGAGCGTGTGGGCGACTTCCATGGTGCCCGTCTCTCTGACGTGGCTGTTGACCCACTGCGAGTAGTTGGTGGGGGCCTGACAGCGGGGACACAGCTCCTCGTAGAACGGCCGGACCTCACCGACCTGGTAGAGCTGGACCAACTCGGCCTTGTTGGCGGGCATCTTCCGGGCGTGGCGGATCTCGAAGGCGGGCAGCACGAACACCTCGGCGCCCGTCGACTCGCGCGTAAAGACCAAGGCCATGAACTGCTGGTGCAGGTCCACGCTCGGCATCATGTCGATGTCGATGACCAGGATGTAGGAGGACTCGGTGCCACCCCGGGCGACGTTGCGCAGAAGGTTGTTGGGGTAGGAGACGTTCCCACTGATGGCATAGTTCTTGTCTTTGTCCCGGTGGGTCTCCAGTCTGGAGAACACCGAGGCGCAGTCATCAAGACCTGCAAAGTGCTCCCGGTCCTGGTCAGGGAAACTGGCCATCTCCCCGGACAGGCAGACCAGGTGAAAGTCCACCAGGGATTGGATCTGAGGGCAGAAGAAGTTGAGTGCGTAGACCAGAGCTGTGGCAAACTTGACATCTTGCCCGTGCGCAAATATGGCCACAGAGATCGGGTTGTGCCACCTCTCCAGGAGGGATTCCAGGTGATGCAGGTTGTTGATGGTCGTGTGTGTGGCTAAAGCCAGGACGCTGGAGCCGGGGTCGGATCCCGGTTTGTGGTTCGTGGTGAAATCACTTTTGATCAAGTTCTTGTACACCCGGTACTGCCCGCTGTTGTCGAAGATCCCACCGGTAGACAGCGAGTACCTCAGACGCTCCTTCCGAGAGTTCTTCTCGGGGTGCCCATTCTTCTTGCCCCCGGAGCCTCCAAAGAGCTGAGAGTACAGGTACCGCTGCTGCTTACCGTAGAACTTGGATAAGAAGGACAGGTATATGAGCTGCAGGAGCGCCACGATCAGCAGAGCACTCAGCACCACTTTGAAGACGGAACATTTCTTGGATAGATGCATTCCAGAGAAACTGCAAAACCTGACCAAACTGGTGTACACAAAGCAAGGTCCGAACACCGGAGGAGCGAGGCTGGGCTATTTCTGTCCGAGCGTACCAGCTAACATTAGCCACATGCTAACGCTGCAGCCTGCTAGGCTGGAAATGCAACGACCACTTGCATCATTTCTGCTGGTTTGCGGCACAACTGCCCCAGATTTTTTCACCACGGGCCTCACCAGCGCGAATAAAACGACGAATCTAATCCGTGATCTCCATCAAAAAACAACACGGTTGTTACCGTTTCTGCTGCTGCTGCTGCTGCTGTGACGGCGGACGCATGTTGATACGTAACGACCGTAATGTCGGGAGTAAAGGCGCCACCGAATTTGGTCCCGGAGCACCGCTTGCTGAAGTGTTGAAGTGTTTATTAACGGGCACGAGTGGAAATAAAGGGCTGTTGTCGCTACAGCGTTAGTGTCACTTGACATTGAAGGTGTAAATGCTACAATAAGTGTGTCTGTGTGTTCTATAAAATGCTGTTTGTTGAGTATATGGAGTCCATAAGACGAGGTGGCCGAGTGGTTAAGGCGATGGACTGCTAATCCATTGTGCTCTGCACGCGTGGGTTCGAATCCCATCCTCGTCGACAGTTGGTTTTGAAATTTTCTTTTTTGTTAAATAATCACATGCGAGCGGACCGTACTCGTATATCTGTATATATAAGTATGACGTACAGTATCATCGTCATACAGTTCATATTAATCTTAGCAATAAAACAAACAGATATAAATTAAAAGCGGCGTGTCCCAAAAATGTAGTAACATTTTCCACAAACCAACAAAAAGGGCAACATTGCAAGTTGCTCCTATCTGACAGCGACACCCATTTAAATGCAAAGCTTATTTAACCACATATGCCCATCATAGCGACACAAATACAATAGGCAATTTTATGCAGTTTTTATCTTTAATTAAAGAATCCAAATTCACTTGTCATTCAAAACTCTGGCCAAAAATAGAATAAATGAAAAAATCCCATTGCCTTAATCCACAAGAAAACCATGAATGTTAATCATGCCTAATATATATATGTATTTATATAATATAATATATAAATATAGACTATTTTCATACAACAGTCAAACTGGGACTAAATAAGATGGAAATCTGTCAACCCTTCTTTAATTTGACTGCATTATTTGCCATTCACTCGTCACATTGTTATATCTATGCAATCTAAACATGTTATTTACCACACATGCATGGGATACTGCTTGAAGTTAAAGCGGTGATGTTTAGTTGTAAACACAGACGCCACACAAAAAGCACAATTGTGACATTCTTTTATTCATGAATCATCAACAAAAACATGTTTGTCTTAACTACGACTTGAACCGTGCAGACAGCACACATCAGGTCCTTGGCCGCAACAAATGAATTTAACCGAGCTCAAGCATGTGCTGCAGATCAGAAAGAATAGGACAACTTCCATTGTGTTTTCAGTGGTTTCATTAAATATTGTGGTGGTAGCTCTGACTTCTGGTCACTCACTAACTGACCTCACATTACGAATTCAAACCAGCTGTTCTGTATCCGGCTGACGTGTGGAGACAATTTGATGTGTCGTGACACATTCATTTTGATGTATAGTGACATGTTAACGGTATAATCTCTTGTTGATGCTCATAACAGATGTTTTTGAAAAGCTCAACCTACTTAAGGATCCTGTGAAATCAGCTTTTTTCCATCTAATTTTGAAGCTGTTAGTTCAAAATGGTAAGTCTAAATAATGCGTGTTGACTTAAAAATGCACTGTGATGTAGCTTTTAATTTAATAACCATGTGCACTCAGTATGTTTTAGGCATTTGACTTTTATTTTTTACTGTGAATCTTTAATCTTTAACATAGCACCTTTGGGAATTATATCTTAATATGGGGAAATTATTTTCTGTAATCTGAGACAGTAAAATATGTATTTGCTCAGGTGTAAATGAGAGTGAGACTAAAACAAGCACTTGAAATGTAATTGTTTAATTTACGCCACAATATTTCAGAAATAAAAACTAAAAGGCAAACAGCCTCGGTTGTTACACACACAACACCATGTATAGTGAGTTTGTGTCGGTTGCAAAGAACTTCAACACCAAGTGAAGTATGTTAAGCAGAAATTTAATCAAAACCAATGTTTTCCTGTGAAAAGTTCCAATTTTGAACCCTAGATTTCATCGTTCCAAACATGTTTTCAGTACTGCAGAAATCATAAAGGCCCTTCATCACAAACTACGACACTAAAACGCCAGCTCCGCTTTTAGACCCGCCCCCCTCGCTGTTACTGGAAGACACTGCCGACTGGCCTTGAGCCTCTCCTTCACCCTCTCCCATCAGCCGGATGTTGTAGCGCTCCCTGTACTCCGTCAGCTCGCGGCCTTTCGTCTGCATCTGTGTGTTGATGGTCTCGATTATTTTGGAGATCTGAGGAGAAAACAAAAGGGGGGGGGGGGGAAGATCAGTGGATTAAAAGGTTACAAGTATGCATGTACGTTGAATTTGCAAGTATCTACTTGAAGTTTAAATACATATTTAAACAATGCAGCACTCATTTTATAGATTTGTTTTTTCATTTTCTCATCCATCACCTGTTCTTTGTTGGTTTCCAGGGCTGGTAGAACTTCTTTTACCGTCCGCTCCACCAACACTCCTCCTATTAGACGAAAGCATTTCCTCGTAGGGTCCACTTCCCTCAGGGTGTCAATTACTAAACTGGAAGGAAAAATAAGGGAAGTTTAAAAACCAAAAAAACGACAACAGATCCACTCAGCGGATCAGTTTTTTAGTGATGTATTTGTGACTCAGCACACATTCTTATGTTGTTGCTTTGAGTCGAAGGCTGCAGATGTGGGAACATCTGCCACCGACCTGTGCTCGTTGATCTCCATCTCCAACTCTGCAGATTTAGAGGCCATACCGCGCTGCTCCTGACGCATCCTCTGAAACGTTGCCACCACCTGTCACACAAAAAACACACCATCAGCAACATAAACAGATGTTTGTTCATTTTAGTTTGCGTCAGTACTGTAGTGATGACACCATTCCAGTTGTGATCATCAATTAAACAAATTAATATTTATACTTCGTCATGTATCTTTATAAATCAAGTAGTTTGGATGTATAATGTTAGGATTTCTACATTTTAGTATTACATAGTAATCTGACTACTTGACGTTAGAATAGGGTTTGATGGTGTCCAGTGATAAAAATAGGTTCTCACACTTCCTTCAACTGGAACACACCGACCCATTAGAGGCGTCACGTTATGCTAATTAAATATACATAAATCCAAATTCATTGTCAAACTCTTTATACATGTAAATACTATTGAAGGCTTCACGCTGGCTCGCTCTTGTTGTCACGTTTGGTGGCGAGAAAGCAGAATGATGGGCGATGGGGAAGCTAACGTTAGCATTAGCCAACAGGGAGTCGGATTAGCGGCTCTAGCTTCACCAGACTCGACTAAACAACAACAACAACAACGAGTGTACCGACTGAAGCAGCCCGAGGTGGAGGTTAAAGTACCTGCTCGGCTGACGGGCCGGACGGTTTTCCACCGGCGCTGTTGCTGGGTTTGCTGCCCGTGCTGCTACTGTTGGCTGCCATCTTGGAAGGGTGTTGCTCTGAAGGACCCCAGGCTACATGTATAGAGCTGTTCCGTGTGAGTGCCTGTGTGGAAATGAAGCCCAGCAGCCGGTAACGGTGGAGCTGATTTTAATTACTTTAAACACTGCTGGGTAGCTTGTGATTTATCCCCCGGGGATTAATATAGTCTTATCGTAACATGTGAAAATACATCATAATCTATTTTATGATTATATTTTGTAATATCAATCTAAATCTGTAAAGTGATCCAATAAATGTTGTGGAATAAAAGCACAATATTCCCCTCTGAAATGTAGTGGAGCAGAAGTATAAAGTAACAAAAAACTGGAGATACTCAAGTAAGGTATAAGTACCTCGAAATACCTCATAGTTACTTCCACCACTGCCTTGCTCCAAGAAAAATCTAAGTACTAATATTCAAAAATAGATTGAAGTACATCCAAACAACTCAGCACTCTAACCAACCAAAGCCTTCAAAACTCAACACTCCAGTGTTTCTTACACTCTGTCAGACGAGAGCAAATACTCTCCAGCAGGTGGAGGTGATGTGCCTTAATGTTGGTTTCTATCCTCTGATAAACAACAGAAGAAGACAGTAGCTCAGCTGACTCTTCCTGCTGTACACTTAAACACTACTGAACCAAACATATGTGACACTAACACGGGCTAAACGAGACGTGACGTGCTGTCTGGGTCACTTGGACCAATGTTCATGGTGAGGTGCATTTTGGGAACTTGTGCAAAGACTTTGGCCTCTCTTCCAGTTTGGAAACAACAGATCAAGCTACAAAACAGGTAAGCTTACTATCCTGACAAGGGAGTGTATTGTTATGCTCTCTAACAGCTGTCCCTCTAAACAAGGGACCTATTTGCAATATTGCACAATGAATATATAACAAAATAACCGGTGCAGTTAATGGTCAACCATGGTTGTCCTTTGATCTTTGCATGCAGCGTCTGTGCTCTGGACATAACAACAACCTCTCCTCTCCCTGCAGGATGTCGACTTCACCTCGCCCAGTGGCCGCAGTGTGTCAGGTGACGGTCATCCCGGACAAAGAGGCCAACTTCTCCGCCTGCAAGCAGCTGGTGGAGGAAGCCCAGGCACGAGGCGCCAGCATGGTCTTCCTCCCCGAGGCCTTCGACTACATCGGATCCAGCGGGGAGGAGACGCTGTCGCTGTCTGAGAGCCTGACGGGAGACACGATCTCAAAATACACTCAGCTGGCTAGGTAGACAGAACCAGTCTGGGTTTAGTACGTTTATTGTTAAAGTGTAAATATGTATCTATAGTCAACTCTGAATCCATCAGCAGGCAGCCACTCTACTACTGTCTCCTGTGTCTCATGTGGAGGATGTGAATAATTGCCATTTCTTCAGGTATTTTAACCCGTCCTCCTTCCAGGAAGTTGGAAGTGTGGCTGTCTCTCGGAGGATTTCATGAACGAGGACATGACTGGGAGTCTGACAGACGAATCTACAACAGTCACGTCATAATTAATGATAAAGGTACCGCTCATTAAACAAGCTCTCTATACGTTCTCTCGCTCGCAACAAGCACACTCGTGAAAATCATTGTCACATTGTCGTTACACCCACAGGTGACATCGTCTCAGTTTACAGGAAGTCCCATTTGTTCGATGTGGAGCTGCCAGACAAAGGTGTGTCCCTTAAAGAAAGTGCCTTCACCATCCCGGGACCCTCCCTCGTGTCTCCGGTCCAAACTCCCATCGGCAAGGTGTCATTTCATGAGATAAGAATCATCACAGAGTGGAGCTTTAAATGCACAATCTGTTTGTGTTCTGTGTCTTTGTTCTGACTATTTATATTTTGTGGCCACAGGTTGGCCTGGGCATCTGCTATGACCTGAGATTCCCGGAGTTATCGCTGGCTCTGCGACGGCACGGGGCAGAGATTCTGACGTATCCATCAGCCTTCACTGAAGCAACAGGAGCTGCTCACTGGGAGGTGGGATGAGTTCACTCACGCTTGCAATGAAAGGACAACTATAAACCCAAGCAAGCATGAATCCTGTGTCTTTTATTCCCAGGTGTTGCTCCGTGCGCGGGCCATCGAGAACCAGTGTTACGTCCTGGCAGCGGCGCAGGTCGGCCGGCACACCGAGAAGCGGCGGTCGTACGGCCACGCGTTGGCGGTGGACCCGTGGGGGGAGGTGCTGGCCGACTGCGGGGGGGAGAAGCCGGGCGTGGTGCTGGTGGAGATCGACCCGGAGAAGGTTGGCAGCACCAGGAGGAACATGCCGGTCCAACGGCACCGCAGAGACACTGGTTTCTATCAGAGTATGGAGAAGACTTGACAACGAGAGAAGTGAAGAGTGCATCAGGAGCACTTCAAGTGACTGAGCTTATTATCGGTATATGGTTCAAAATCAGCCTTCTCTTCTTTTACTGCTTACTCAGCTGTCCTGGTTTAACTTTTAAATCATCTTGTCATCACTGCATTAGATAATCTCACCAAATGAGTCTATACAAATTAGATATTACTCATATTTGCCACTAGGTGGTGCTGTTGGGTAGTAACGATATTAGAAACAGGAGGAAATGGTGGTAAATTACAGATATATGTTGTACTGAATGGATATGTTCATATTATTTAATTAGATTAAATACCGTAAAAAAACATCACCTTCACTTTGTTTGTTTGTCTTCTGTATCCAGTTACAAAATAAATAGTTAAATTGTGAAAATGCATCACTGACTCTGAATGATGATATCAGATTATGAGTGAAATGAAGTTTTTAACCTCTCTAATGGGGGCCCAAAAAAGAGTTTGAGATAAAAACCATGTATACAACTATTTTAAAATTGCACTTAAGTACACTACTTAAGTAAATGTACTTAAGTACAATTTTGAGGTACTTGTAAACATCATTTTTGAGTATTTCCATTTTACTTCCTGTCCAGTGAAAACCACGTATCCACAGATGTGTTGATTTTGAATATTTGTGACAAAAATAAGGATGAAATGTTTCTTTATGTGTTGAGAAAATCATCCTACTTCTTAAGCTAAATAAACTATTAAAACCTGGATCAGCTGGAAAATACATCGTCACAAAACAGGTCATATTATTTTGAGATACTTGGTTCTCACGGGACAGTGACGCTACAAACATATGGTGATCTCATAGAATATGACAGATTAAACTACCCTTTGTATATAAATTATAAATGAGCACGACTATAATAATCTACAACACCATATACATTAATGCAGCAAAAATAGTAATCATGTATAATAGAAAAACACTGACGGAGAACATTTTAATGCACAATGAGTACACGTTTGATACTTTAAGCACATTTAGCAGATACTACTTGCATATTTTAGTACTTTTACCCAAGGATATGAGTACTTCCTCCACCAGAACCATGCAGTTACACTGTCCCCGTTATGATTCATCCCCTCCCGTTTGATTTGCAGTGACTGGATGAATTATTGATCATATTTCTGCCTGTTTTACCATCACACAGACTGTGGGTGGGAGCTGCTGCTGTCAGGATGTGAGGATGGGAGACAGGAAGTGAACGTCACTGACACAGGAATGGGACTGAAAAAAGAAAACACCATCATGATGAGAATGTCAAATCCACTCGTGTAAATGAAACACAAATCCCCCCGTTTCAACCCGACAAAAGGATGAACTGTCGTGTCCGAGCTGTAATTGATGCATCACGACGGTAACGTGCGTTCTTCTTCTGTAACGGTTTGACGGTTAGCTGTGTGTTTCACCGCCCGAGGCCGTGTATCCCTCCGATGCCGTGCAGTTTGAGTGATATTTAAATGGAGATTTACCGTATTTTGTGGATATAACTTGTCGTTTATGTGGTTCTCAGGCCTTTGGCTGCTTGTCGAAGGGAAACTGAGGCTACACTAACCAACGTTGCATGCAAAACGGTCCTATTTTCACCGTTAAATGGAAATGTAACAGTCGGCTAACGGCTGTGCGCGTGCTGCAAAGGACTAATCTTGTTGCCATGCTGACTGTCGTGGTTGTTTTCCATCATTAGATAAGCACGCTAGTCTCGTGCTTGTGAACTCCTCTCTTCCACAAAATCATCCTCAACACAATCCTATTTATTCTGGTATTTTTTGTAACAATGAGACTTTAGCAACACTTAACATAAGTTTTTTATTTTTTTATTTATTTATTTATTTTTATATATATATAATGCAATTTACAATCTTAAGTTATTTGAGGCAAAAAGTTAGTAATTTAAAGTGAATTTAGTTGGTTTTGTTAGTCTTTTACGCTGAATATCTGGACATTTTCTTGGATTAATTAAGCAATTTAAATGTAATATAAAATATCAGTTATAATGGCTGTTTTTCACCATGTTTGAGACCAAACAATTAATTGAGAAAATGTGTTTATTTCATGTTTATTTGTAAAGGGACGAGTATATTCACACCTGCCACATGGCGCAGCACATTGTCGCATGTCTTTAGACTGCGAAATAATACAAAAGTTAGTTGTAACTCTGGTATTTTGTGCATTAAATAAAACCACATTTAGATATGAAGTTACTTCTGCTGAGGTCTGATAAGGAAATGACAATTGACTCTAAATTAAAAAAACAGAGGCCTTTGAGTCAATGCGATGAGTTATGACCCTAAACATGACGTATCCACTTTTATATTAATTTTATTCCATTTCACACAGCCCCATCCTCTAACCAGGACCGTACCTGTCGACAAGATGTCACACTTAAAGTAGTTAAATGTTAAACTTAAGTTAATGTTCCCCCACTTTTACCTCTTGGCTCCATCACTGTTCAGTCATTCTGTTTATGTTTAAACCACTTGTGTCCTCTGTTAGCCTCACACAGGCGGGTCAAACCAAAGGCCCTCCTCATTTGATTTGCTCTGATTGTTGATTTAATCAGCGCTGCTGATTGTGTTAACGTCTGTCTGGAGTGTTTCGTCTCGGTTCAGCACGACCTTAAGAGTTTAATTCACAGACGGACGGTCGAGACGCCTCATTTAAGTGTTTACCTCCTTCCCCTCCGTGAGATCACGTAAAGCACTTGTCTTGACAACAATTACACCATGATGGGGTTAACTAACATGTCGAAAGGTTTACTTGAATGGCTGCATTTCTTTTACTGCATGGCTGCAGGCCTGACATGTATTATTCATAATTCAGCATTCATTTTCTAAGAGTAGGAGCTTCCCCTGTCTTCTGTGAGGCTTGTTGTGTTTTATTATTTTTGTATGTTTTACTTCAGTGTCTCCCCTCTAGAGACAGCAGCATATATTGACTGATATTCAGTTTTCCTGTTTGTTGTTTTGTCAGACTGACACCACTACATGGCTGCACATCTCCAGGAGTTAGTCAGGGCCCACGTGTTGCTGAAGTGCTGTTAATTGTGATGACTGAGCACTCCCTGTAGTGTTGGAGCTGGTGTACGCTGGATATTTTTGATCCATATATCGATCGCCATGTTGTCTTTTTGAAGGATGCGCGTCGACGACTACAGGAGGAGGTGTGAGCCTGTCGGTTAGAGGGAGGGCAAAGAAAACCCGCTGAGTCACGTCCCGGCAACGGTCGCCTGGGCAACACCTCCATAGTGACCAGCCGGAGGAAGATAACGGCCCTCGTTGCTCAACTTAGTTGCGTAACATCAGCGGTCCCCACAACGTTTTGTTCACCTCGCTGTTGATTATGCTGCTGTCATCGACCGCCAGACACACACACACACCCCCACACACACACACACACACACACACACACACACACCCCCAGCTTATCCACGTCCTCAAACAGCATAATGAAATCTGACTGGAAGGATAGTAGCTCCTCAATAATCAACATCCTCTGGTCTCTCTGGCGTAATTACTGTTTTGATTACTGTTGCAAACATGTGAAGGGAAACATGAATACGTGTACTGCAGGCTTTTCATAATTATAGCTTTCTGTTCAGAGAAGTAGCACAAAAGATGACGAGTGTAATTAAAGCAGCCGTCGTTAAGAGGCTCAGAAGCTTCATATCAGAGCTGTCTGTCTGTCTGCAGGAGCGAGTCCTAAAACCTGGAAGTGATTTAGTATTTTTGCCCCTCCGGTTCCCTCGTCTCAATGTTGTTTTGTTCATTCCCACTTGTGTATTTTGTGGTGTTACCGTCATAACAAAGTGTCTGGATTCATTTGTTAGAGGAGAGCGACTTTCACCGCAACACCTGATGAATCTGAATTAGAGCTTGAACTCCGAATTGTTTTTATTTTTTGAGAAATCCACTTCCTAAATCAGTCTAGCTGACTCCAACGTTTCTTTTCCTTCACTTCCTTTTCATGGTGCTGCAGGAGAAAGAAGAAGTATGAAGTCTAATCCATTCAGGTCGATATGAAGGGAGTTTATAAATCCTCTATTGCTCTATATCTTCACAGAGCTACGGGGGAATATGGCCCGTCAGAACGTAAACGATTAGTGAAGATCAGTAAGGCGGCGGCACATTAAATGTCTATCTTTCTCCTAAACTCTCCTCTTTGCTACGTTGAGACGGATATTCTATAAATATCTTCTCATTTTCGTGACATTGTGCTCGGGCCGGATCCGTTCAGGTCACAGATTCTGGTGTAGTTTCCACCTCCTCCACAGGGGGGCGGTGTTTGATCACAGGTGAGGTGCTGAGTGTTGACTCCGCTCTGCTCTGTTTGGTCCATCACTTTTAGTACCATAACCATCCTCCCATGCTGAAAACATATCTTCAAACTTTAGATTGACTTTCACACTAGTGATGAATCACAGCTGGACTGTGTTCTCGTTCCGCTCCTTGGATCTCTGCTGAAGTGGTCCAGTTGTTTGTTCTCGATCACTCCACCTCAACGCCGACAGTCCGCCTTCATCTTAAACTCTGATGGATGTCCTGAGTCCCTTCCCTCTCATTCCGTCCACACCTCGTTCCCTTTTTGTGTTACTTCATCTTCCATCTTCCATCACCGGTTATAAAACAATACTGTGATAATTTCTCTTGTAGGAAAATAGACAAAACTTGCTCGTTTGGTTTCCCAGTGAAGACACCAGTTGCCTCATTCTCCAAATATAACTGGACAGAAATGCGACGGATGAAATGACCGACCGTGTGACCAGATGATCGGGTTCTTCTTTGTTTGTCTTGAGAGAAAGCTCTGGAAACCGGTTGTGTTTCGATGTTTTTTTTGCTGGACCATAAATGTATGTACGACTATAACCTCTCCATCACGGCCTCACCGAGCGCCCGTCTGTCAGTATGCGCGTTACCATCCCACCCTGACCCACTCCACCTTGCAGACTCTCTAATCCAGCATCCTCACAACACGGTGTGTGTGTGTGTGTCTCCACCACTCTCCTCCCTCCCTCCTTCCCTCCCTCCTTATCATCCAGGGCACCGGTGCGTTGCTAAATGGAGTCGGAGCAGCTGTACCACAGAGGCTACTGCAGGAACAGCTACAACAGCATCGCCAGCGCCAGCAGCGACGAGGAGCTGCTGGATGGAGCCGGCGCCATCATGGACTTCCACACCACCGAGGACGACAACCTGCTGGATGGGGACGCTGCCTCCCCAGGTAGGGAGAACAGGACACCTCCAAATACCCCCC